GCAAGTTAGAGCTGGACCAACCTGAAAAATTCATAACAAGATTGTATACAATCTGATTTTGAAAAGACTTGACCGGACCTGCAATCTATAGAAGAGTTTCCACAAGGTTTTGTCTTAACAAGACTATCTGTCACTATATCAAGACATATTAATTCAGGTGTTTAATGTGTACAGGAGTCTAAAGAACACAAATGAAAATAATTCAAATGCACAACCAGCTGTCCTGGTTTCATCTGGGATAGAGTTAGTTTTCTTCCTAGTAGCTGGTATAGTGCTGAATTTTGGATTTAGCATGAGAATGTGGTAACACACTGATGTTTTAGTTGTTGCTAAGCAGCACCTACACTAAGTCAAGGACTTTTCAGCTTCCCATACTCTGCCAGCAAGAAGGTGCACAAGAAGCTGGGAGGGAGCACAGCCAAGACAGCTGATGCAAACTGGCCAAAGAAATATTCCATACTATATGATGTCATGCTCAGTACATAAACTGGGGGGAGTTGGCTGGGAGGCAGCGACCACTGCTCAGGGACTGGCTGGGTGTCAGTTGGCAGGTGGTGAGCTGTTGCATCACTTGTTTTTCTTGGGTTTTGTTCCTCTCATTGTTTTCCTTTTCATTACAGTTTACTATTATCATTCTTATTTTAATTATTAAACCATTCTTATCTCAACCCACAAGTTTTCTTACTTATGCTCTTCCAATTCTCTCCCCCATCCCACCAAGGAGCAGGGAGGGTGAGCGAGCAGCTGTGTGGTGTTTGGTTGCCAACTGGGGTTAAACCACATCAGCCTCAAGCAGAAACTGAACATAATACCTGGGACTATCTTGACAAATTATTTCATAAAGCAGAGAAAATTCATGCTGTCTTGGTTATTCTATCACCTTCTATCAAGGTCCAGACATAAAACATTTAGGCCAACTCGCTCTAGTATGAGATGAGGCCTGTTAACATCGCCAAGGTTTGAGCAAGACAAAAGGTCCCAGGTAGAATATGTAAATATATAGCACCACAGAAGCAACTAAGAGCTGTTAGGTAGGAGGCAAGTTAAGCATATCAGACAGTCAACTGTTTGCACACTAAGCAGAAGACCAGAAACTTGTGAGTTTTTTTCAGGGAGAGCAAAGATGCCCAAAAAAGTGAAATACCTACTTTTGAATCTGAGGTCTACCAGATTCTTTTCCAATAGAAACCCAGCTGCTCTGAAATTCAGTTAAACAGCTTTGTGCTGCAGTTAACCTGTCACCTTCCAGGTCTGTCAGAGGTAATGAGGCTGAATTTGCACAGGACCCAGCTATGAGCCCATGAAAATACATCTGACAAGACAGGTAATGTGAGCAGGCATTACAATGCCAGGTTGATCAGATCAGAGGTAGGACTGCCTGACCTGTGTTGAGGCCATTATGATTTATTCAAGGAGTCAGAGAAGTTTTAAAGAGGGAACAGGCAATGAAATACTTAAAAGGAAGCTTAGTTAACCCTGTGTCAGGTCTAGTTAGCTGTCTGAACAGGGGTAGTGCACTGGTGTGCTGTTTTGGTCCAGACGCCTCATTTATCGCAAAAAAAATATGATTGATATTTCATTAATCCTACTGATATATCCAAACAGCAGAGGCATCTTTGCCTCTGTCATCACTGACAAATACAAAGGAATAGTTTCTGCTAGCAAAAGCACTTATATTTGTAGTTAGTTTCATTTTCAGATGTTAAACCCTGTTAAGGATTTAATAACTAACTTCCTTTTTTGATCCTGTTTAAAAGCACAATCATCTATTTGGCAAAGCACTAGTTTATTCATACAGTTGAAACAAGCTTAGTTTTTCCTCACCACTTTCTGGATACCCAAGTTTGCCAAACTTACCACAATGCTAGTTTGATAAATTTATCAATTACTGTACCGGCTTGGTCAGCTTCAAACAGCAGATTCTCAATTCACTAACACCAAAAAGACTACACCTCCTGAAATACTGGAGGTATCTTTTCATTCAGGATCTTGCACAATAGCTAACAGCATTAGTATAGACTGCAAGCATATGGAAGCAGATGCCAGCTTGCTAGGAGAACTGCTCTAAATTCATATTCACATGCAGAAGAGCTTTTTGCACAGATTTCGTCCATATTTAAGTCTTAAGTTTCATGCTTCTGAAGCATTTGTCACCAATCCTGATCAGGAAGGAGAAAATTGCTCATAAATCAAAATCAAATCTTTTAACCATTTTTCTGAGGTATTATCACTTGGCACCTTCTACAAATAACACTTTCACTAATACTGACACCTCTTGTAGGCAAAAGTAGTCTAGAAAACTGCACACATGCACAGAGAAGAACAGCATAGAGACAAAGCATTTATATAAAGTATCATTTCAGGGTTTAAGCACCACGTAATACCTTCTGCTTAAGTTCTGCAGAATCTGAATATACAATTCATGCAGTCTAAACAACTCAGTGAAACCAAGATGACTGGAATAATTTCACATCTACCCCAGAAAACTTGATAAAGCATCCCTAATTTCTGAGCCACCCTCTGAACACACTTAAGAGGAAGAGGGTTAGTCTTTTGCATCCTAATGTTTGCTCTAAAAGACTTCGTTCCCCTGTGTATAGGCATTCAAAACTCATGTCACTGCAGACTACAGTATGCCAGCATAAGGCTCTCAGTTTGGCATCTTGAAGCCATGTCACTTCATACAATGTGTTTAGATTTGTTAGATCTCAGAAATAAAACCGTAAGCCTGGTCCTAGTAAACAAGTGATACTAAACTGCAGTGACTGCTTGCAGTTCAGGGTGGGTGTATTTTAGAGAAGTTCAGGAGTACCTCTTCCTAAGTCTAAATTCATACTTACCTCCCAGACTACTCTTCCACAGTGACAAATTTTAATTCCTTTTGACTATATGGAATCTTTAATGAGTAAGCTTTAAAATAAATACCCATAAGCCTGGAGCACAGGCCTTATGAGGAGCAGCTGAGGGAACTGGGGTTGTTCAGCCTGGAGAAGAGGAGGCTGAGGGGTGACCTTATCACTCTCTACAACTACCTGAAAGGAGGTTGTAGTGAGGTGGGTGTTGGGCTCTTCTCCCATGTAGTTAGCAATAGGACAAGAGGAAATGGCCTCAAGCTGCGCCAGGGGAGGCTTAGTTTGGATATTAGGAAAAATTTCTTCACAGAAAGGGTGGTCAAGCATTGGAACAGGCTGCCCAGAGTGGTGGTGGAGTCACCATCCCTGGAAGCATTCAAAAAACAGGTAGACATGGCACTTAGTCTAGTCTACCCTTAATTGGTTTAGTGTGGACTTGGTAATGTTAGGTTAATGGTTCGACTGGATGATCTTAAAGGTCTTTTCCAACCTAAACGATTCTATGATTCTCTGAGATTCTATGATCTATACGTAATAAAATGGAAATTTCTGAGAAAAATGGAGGCCCCCCCCCATATTGGGGTAAAAATATTCTTAAATAGAGAATACCTAGGAATTTTTTTTTCTCTGGCAGAAGGGAGGTTTGTGTGAGCAGATACACCAGTATTCTGCTTTCTGTGGGGGAAGTCCTAGTGGAGACATAGGAACTCAAATGGCATAGCTATTCTGCACAGCAGTTGTACTCTGTACACCCTGGATCCTGGTGGTCTAAACAGACACATACAGGATTACATCAAAGCTCTGTCTGGATATAAATTCAGGTTTCTTTCCACAGCACATACCAGGCTTTATCCCAGTTCAGACAGTCAAAGACTGTCTCCATGGACCATAACTACAGAGCACACAGCAGAGCGTACCTGCCCATTCAAAAGATGGCAAGGGCTTTCCTACTAGCTATCCTAAGGAAGAATTTCAGTGTTTAGTCCTCTGAAGAAAGTTGTCACTACATAAAGAAGCAGAAGCATCTTTCAAAATGCACTGTTTCCCTTTTTAATACCCATTTTACCTTTCCTTCCCTTGAGCTCAAGTGTCTACATCTCAACATCTATGAGAATAACATCCTGATAACACGGACCATGTAGGCTTCCTCTATCTTTTACGTTCCCATCTTTGTTTCTGTATGTTTGTATATAGCTCTTCCCAGTCAAAGATGACTTAAGTCAGGGTTCCAAAGAGGTGCCCACATATAAGTGATATGCAAACTTGAATTCACTGAAGCAGTACTTCATGAAACTTTGAAGAGCAGTAAAGCAATCCCTACAAGTTACCCAGCACAGTCTGTGAGGAAAACAATGATAATGTGCAAAAAAATCTAGAAAAAGTCTTCCTAAAGAAATGGAGGGAGGAATGAAGGAATTTCTTTCCTCTATGAGCAGAAACAGAAGTCATCTTAATTTCTAGTAGGAAGAAAAAGCCATTTCAACCAAGTGAAAAAAAATGTTAATCTGTTTTTCATAACATTAACCTTAAAATTTAAAGAGGGACCAAAACAATGAAGTTCCACAGCCTATTGAATGTTAAACAAACACTTGCAGGTAGCAATATTTTAGTGCAGGATAATACTTGGCAGTAGAGAAGTGTTAAGAATTCATGGTGGTCAAAGATATTAATAAAACAGTCTCCATCCCTCCAGAATAGACTGTATAATTTAGTAGTGCAGATTTAACTAATTCAAGAGTAACAATGGCTGAAACTTAAGAGGATAAGAAAGTTTACTCAGTGAGTTCCTTTAATGGTGCATTTTAAGCTCCACTTCTACCTACTATAAGAAAGTTTCAAAGCTTGGCATCAGAATCAACTTAAATATACTTCATTCCTTTTGCTATTCTGAAGAGGATCCTGCTATCCTGAAAATACAATTCATTTATCATTTGTTCTCAACATACTTTTTTTGTGTGACCAGCACCACTTTCTGCACATTTATTCCAACAAGAACCGTTCCTGCCTTAGAACTTTTATAGAACAGACTGCAGAACAGCAGAGATTGTTAAGACTGTTTTAAATGTAACAGTTAAAAAACTAGTTAATATATTAATGGAATACTTTTTATAAGCACTTAGATTTATCAAGTATGAAAATTGGGCTTACCTTAGGAAATTGTTTTACTGGAATCAAGACTTTTTGTCCCAACTTCATATTTTTATTGATGACTACATCAATATACTTTTCTTCTTCCTTTCCTTCCCCTTTTTGGAATTTTTCAATTTCTGTTAAAGGAAAAAAGTTAGTTATTTTCTCAGTTTAATAAAACAATCTAAAAGCTGAGAATCTTCAAAGGCAGTACAAATTAAAATCTTGAAAACTAATACTGCATGGTATAATACTTATGGCATAATGTGTAGTTAATACATTAGTTACATAGGTCAATGGGATAAACCATGTGTTGGTTTTTCAGGATTTTTTAATACTCATGTTCATATTGGCACCTTGAATTAGCACTGCAAGCATTTTAAATGCTAACTTTTAGCTTAGTACTTAGGATACATTGACTTTTTATATGGCTCAAGCAGGAAAAACTATTCTTGGATACCTTTATTCATTTTTAAAATCAAAAACTTGCAGCATGGTTTCATACTTGACTATTTTATCCCTGTATACTATAAACAAGTATAGAGTTTTAATGGTGGCTGTCTACAGTGCACTTATGAGCAAATGTCAAGTCAATCTTTTAAAACTTCAGGAATGTAATTGAGGCACACAAGTCACACCCAAAAATCTGAGATTAGTGGTATATCAATGACAGAATTAGGAATGAGATTTAGAAGTTCAAACCCAGGCTGCATGACTCTACGCATTCCACAGCTACATACAAGACCGATTCTTGATTATAATTCTTGATTATAATTCTCTCCAAGTATTGACTCTCCAGTGTGCTAATGAAAAATTGCAGATTTCATTTCATTGCTGGAGAAACATGAGCATAAAAGACTAAAAATGAAGCGCTGCCTGAAGTCTTTACTGGACTACAGTCCAGCATGCTGTGCAATTTCAGAAATGCAACACAAGGTCTTCTGTGGACATCTAGCATTTGTCCTCCCAAATCTTTAAACATCTTGTTTTACACAACAAAACAGACCCTTCTACTTAACCAGTAAAAGTCAGTGACATTTATCAAGACCTTGAAGTTCCTTTAGTGGGAATGTGATCTTACGCCAATAGAAGACAGTAACAAAACTTAAGTGAAAAGAAACCAATCAAAAATATAGAAGGGGAAAGCATCTTTTAGGTAGACTTTAAAAGGCAATTTAGTTTGAAAGTACTTCCAATGGAAAACAGGAGTAGTAAACCAACACATTTCTTACTACTGAAAAAAATCCATGCATCATCAGAAGTTTTGTTTAATGAATACCAGTCCATTCCCATCTACCACAATAGAGATGAAGATGCTAATGTCTTTCCCAGTATCTGAAACTCCAGTCTTCCATGCAAGTTTTCACCTCGCACAGAACGGCAAATAAATGCAACTGCATTTATTCAAGTTAATGTTCAGTGACTGAAGAACTAAGAGCCAAACTACCCTATGACTACTTGAAGGCTTCTTGAAAGAAAAGCCTTCCCCAGCTATATTGTCAAATCTTCTTGCTAAGTCCCGAGAAAGTTTGATTCATATAGACTCTAGCAATGTAAACATTCTGGAGGAGCCCTATCAAAGCAACCTTCCTCTGAAGCATCCTTTATGTTGCAGCATGCTCAAAAAAACCCAAACCCCTCAGCCTAACAGGCTGACAGCTACTGAGGAACCTACTTTAACAACTGAATCCAGGTAAAAATAGAATTCAGATGTTCTCTGTAGAAACCACTTTATGGACTACAGAATTATGGGCAATCAAATAGAGGTAAAGCTACATTTAAATTCATTTCCAGATAAAATTAAGACTGAAATTTTATAGGGCATGATGTTCCCACTCAGAAAGCAGGTGACATTTTTCAGAAGTCAAAGTTTCTGGATATGACATTCAGACATAAGTGTAGTACTATCACAGCGCTCAAATACAAATAAACTACTTATAACACCCCTGCTTCCTGCTATAACAAGGACAGTTATGATAAAGCTCTTTGATTTATCTTGGAAAACAAGACAAGATACTTAGAGGTTTGTACATTTTACAAGGGGAACACAGAAACATGACACTGATTTTTAATGCTATGTTTGGTATACACTATTAACAGTGTAAATGCTCAAAGCTCTAAAGTGATCAGAAGAATGCTGCTCTTTAGCAACATTTTACACCAAGAAACACCAAATATTAAAACTGTAATAAAAATACATCCACTTTGTTATGACTAAAGCAAATGCAGTTACAACAAAATTTAGTATAACTTCATTAAGTATCAACTTTAAATGTTAGGACTAGAATTTGTTCAGAAAATCAGAAAAGCACAATTCAACTCCATTCAAGATTAAAAATTAAATTAATGCACTGTGCTGTACTATTTTGGAGCAGATCAGTGCACTGAAAGCTCCTGGTAGTTAGATTGATACAAGATATTTTAAAGTTTTCAGTATCTATAATTACTGTTACAGTGAAGGACTTTTTCCTTAGGTAATCTAAACTTACAAAATAAGAGTACCTGTACCATGAACTGGTAAAGCTAAAAATTTGTTTTCTCCTGTTGAGTCATATACTATTGTACACAACTGCACAGTATGGCATACACTGCAATCCCCCCTGCCCACCTGAAAATTTAATTTTGTAAAAATTGCATTTCCAGAAGTAAGGAATTTTAAATTAGAACCACAAGTTTATAAGTGAACAGTGGTTTAAGGACCTTCTTAGAAATTGCCAAGAAATATTACACCTAAAGGTGAGTTTTGTTTCAGGAGTATTCAGATATCTGAAACAGACTTGTCAGGTTTAGAAAGTATCTGAAGAGTTAAGAGCAGCATTCTAATAATATCTCAGCAACATTCCTCAGATGAGCCAGCTGCATGAATCCCTTAGAAGATCAATACACTGTTATTTGTACTTCCTAAATATTTTAGCTTACATAAGCTATTTGAATTCATTATTTGAAGGACCTGACCACAACAACTTGATTAATACTAGATACACTCATAATTCTATAGTATTTTGATTTACTTAATACAAAAATAAAAAGGTCATAGAAAGAACATTCTTACTCTAGCAGTCACTCAACTCAAAGTGGACAAAGTAAATATTAAAAGAAATCCATTCATCATTCTGAAGATCAGTTTTCCTACCCAAATAGCTACATACTTTTTATCGACCATTTTAAGAACAATCATTTATTTATCCTAACTTCCATTGTTTAATCAACTTCCCATTTGCTTGAAGAAGCTACTGAAACCCATAAGAAGCTGCCAATTAACTCTTGCAAAATGGATCACAATTTTCCCCATCTGTTTTAAAGTCAAATGACCTGGTTTTCTTCTAATAAACCAGCATAGTACTACAAAATAAGATAAAAGATTTTTTCTTATTACAGACCAAAGTTTATGCGTATTCACTGCTATCATAAGACTTCCATTTTGAATGAACAATGTCAAGGCCACCAAATTACTGAAAATTTATCTTACATTGAGACCACATTTTCTCTCAGGTTTTTCTGTTTTTTTTCTTGTCTTTTTTGCACTCAAATCTAAGATGAATATGAAATAAAGTTAAGCATTAGAATTTTACCCATCTCTGCACAGCTCTTTTGGTATCTATTACATACATCAAGCTTTAGATAATTAGGGAAAAATCATGCCAGATCACACAGGAAATCCAATCAGATTTTCAAGGTCAAATGGATAGGAAGATTTGCCTTTTCCTAATCCTTAGATTACATGCTGTGCTGCTTAGCTATATGAAGCTATGACATTTCCTAGATCACAAATAGTAAACATGATTAAAGCTTCCCATAATGATAGAGATTAAAATCCATGTTCTCAGACCAAGGATGCAGCTAATGCAACAGTCCAGGAATTTAACTGGGTGAAGTAATAACTGCATGGATTTTTTTCTTTACATTTAATCATAGCAGAGAGATCTAAGCAATGATTACTCTTCAGTTAATACACCAAATAATGTTGCTAGATACATCAGATAATGACAAAGTAGAATTGTTCCACGTTAATCTCTAGGTAAAATTAATCTTCTTGTGGCAGAACTACAAGCCAGGATTCTAGCTCCCTCTGCTAAGTCAATATAAATACTCAAATTCAATGTAGAACCAAGTGATGCACTGTATTTGTCTGTAGTAAAACAATATAATCAATGTAAGATCAAATGTCAAACTCAAAGTAAACAGAAATGTTTACTTAATTTGTCCTTAATACAATGTTTCCAGAACACAAGATCAGGAGAAACAGGAACCAGGTAAATTTGTCTGCACATCCTTAAGAAACATTCTACTATTTTTCCTTAGTTTCTTATCAGACACCCTATTAAATCCAAATCATTTCATACTAACTTTTTCTACTTCAGATGGAAGAAAGAGTGAAGAATCCAAGGCTCAAATTCTAGGACATCCAAATGATCATAGCTTCAAAAAACATACTGCACTGCAATTTTACTAGAAATAGTTTCCACATTAATTTTGAAAATGAAAATATTGTAACAACATTATCCTTTATAAATACTCCTAAATAATGCTTGACTGAAATACACTGAAGAGGTTTGGGAAATTACTAACAATATACAACAGCACTATGCTTTATTTGGACTATTCCATTATTCTTAGCTTGTAGCTAAGAGAAAGAAACATTAAAATTTAGACCAAGTCATCCAAACAAGTCCATTATACAACTACTGAAGCATGTCCCAATGACAATAGCTTTTCTCAGTAAATTCTCAAGACTTCATAGCTGACTTAGAGAAAACACACCATCTCCAGTTCAGAAAGCTCCCAAGTCAAACTGAAGGCTGTGGAAGCATCTTTATATACTTTCCCTGTCCTTTTACTTCTCGAAAAAGCTCTGCTATTGACCATTGCTGGCAGTACAACACTGAGCTAGATGGATATCTAGTCTGACAGTACAATTCCTTATGGTTTCAATCAAACCAAAATGATGGTACAACAAGAAAAGAGACTTTGGCTTATTAGTTTTGCATTTTACAAAGATCTCTTCCAAGGATCACACCCAAGCTTTGATAAGAGACAAGCTTCTGGAGGAGGGGGACTCCAAGTCAGTTGTAGCACAGTTTCAGAACAAACAGTTTTTCCTCAACGGAGAAAAACACATGGACAGTATCAGTT